GAGAAGTGTCTATTCATGTCTTTTGCCCATTTCTTCACTGAATTTTTTGTTCTTTGGTGTTGAGTTGGAGAAGTTCTTTATAAATTTTGGATACTAACCCTTTATCTGATATGTCGTTTGCAGATATCTTCTCCTAGTCTGTCGGTTGCCTTCTAGTTTTGCTGATTGTTTCCTTCGCTGTGCAGAAGGTTTTTATTTTAGTGAGGGCCCAATAGTTCATTTTTGCTTTTGTTTCCCTTGCCTCCAGAGATGTGTTGAGTAAGAAGTTGCTGAGGCCAAGGTCAAGGAGGTTTTTGCCTGCTTTCTTCTCGAGGATGTTGATGGCTTCCTGTCTTACACTTAGGTCTTTCATCCATTTTGAGTTTATTTTTGGGTCTGGTGTAAGAAAGTGGTCCACGTTTGTTCTTCTGCATGTCGCTGTCCAGTTTTCCCAGCACCACTTGCTGAAGACAGCTTGGTTGTTTTCTATTACCCTGTCTTCCATGTCACTGATCTGTTCTTCTGCACCTTCTAATCTGTTGTTGATTCCATTTAGTGTGTTTTTATTTCAGTTATTCTTTAGCTCTGGCTGGTTCTTTCTTTTTAAGATCCTCTGCTCTTTTCTCAAGTATCTCAGTGATCATTACTTTGAATTCTTTATCAGGCATATTGCTTACTTCCATTTCATTTAGCTCTTTTACTGTGATTTATCTTTTTTTTTTTTTTTTCCATGTGGGACATATTCCTCTGTCTCATTTTTTTCTAACTCTCTGTGTGTGTTTTTAATGTAGGAGGACAGTCAGCTATGTCTCCTGATCCTGAAAGTAGTGGCCTGTGTAGAAGTGGTCCTGTGGTGCCCTACAGTGTAATTCCTCCTGGTCACCAGAACAAGGGTGTCCTTGGTGTGGGCTGTATGCACTCCTGTTGTGGCTGAGTCGCAACTGCCTTCAGCCTAGCCAGCTGCAGTGATCCGCTTTGCCTGCTATGAGTGCCCGGGGTAGCATTTGCCCCACGTGCTCTCCAGAGGCCTACCTATAGCAGCCGCAGGCTTGGTGAGTTGGGCCAGCAGTGAGCCTACCTGTCTGAAATTATTCCCTCGGCCACAGGTACAGGTACACCGAAAGCTCTGGGGCTCCACGACAGGAAATGAAAGTGTGCCATTACGTGGGTTGATCTCCTCCCTCTCCAGGGCATGAGTCATTTTGGAGGGGCACCCTCCAAGTGGGTCTGGTGAGGCAGGAGCCACTCTGAAGGGAGGACGGCTGAGTTGGGTTGGATGGGGAAGGGCAGCCAGTGCTATAGCAAAGTAGATGGAGAGAGTTAATGCTACCTCTCACAAACATCCAGTTATCTAGGGCTGGGGGGGAGGGGGAGAGAAATGGCACCCACCAGCACTTTCGTTTCTAGAACAATATTCTCTACGTCCTGCCCCTTCAGGATAGATTAGTCAATACATCTCCGTCATGTATACCCCAGGCACTTTCCAAACTGCTGCTTCTGTCCTGTCTTGGCTGAGTCATTTAGTATGCTGGAGCTTTAAGGATGGGGACTCAGTTTCCTATTGCCCTCAGACGCTCCTGGAACCAAGTCCCATGGAAGTTAAGATGTGCTGGTTTTCAGAGCCAGAGGCCACGGCGACTCATCTTCCCAATGCTGGGGGTGCCTAGTGTGGGGTCAGGTCCTCTTGCTCCTCCATGCTTGTGACGTCGCTCCTGTTTGTAGGGTTAGTGGCACCAGGGGTTTGGTTTTTGCCCACGTCTCCATTCTTCCTCCCCTTTCGAGGTGGCCTTCTGTCTACAATTAACTGTGGAAGGTCTGTTCTGCCAGGCTTCCGGTCATTTTCAGAGCCGGTCGTACAAACGTAGCTTATACTTCAGGGTAGCTGAGAGACACGGTGAGTTCGGGACCCTCCTACTCTCTCTTCTCAGATCTCTTTGGGACTCAATCAGTTTTGCCTATAACTCAGCAAACAGATTTCATTTTGCCTTTACTAGTGGACTAGGGACAATACCTGATTGTGTTGGACTGGAGACAATACCTGATAGTCTTCGACAACATTCGTCACTGTAGGTTTCCTCGATGTGTCTATTCCACATTCACGTGGAAGTCATGTTTTCTAAGCTTTCTGAAAAGCACACATTGGTATTGCAGGGCCCTGGTTCCTTTGGTTAGTGCGGAGAAAAGAGCAGGTGTGGCTGCTATCCTTGGAAAGCCTGCTGAAGTTGGCCCGTGGCCAACTGGGACCTTGGATCTCAGGAGGGTTTCTAGCACCCTCCCTGAGAAGAGTGGCGCATGGTGCTTAACCTGTACAAACAATCTGGTTTATGCTGAACATCTGCTTCCCTTCTAGGAGTCTGGCGTTTTGTTATGTGTCAGGGAGAGGGTGTCTTCATGACCACAAGCCTGGGCACTGAGACTCTAAGGAGGTTCCCAGGTAGCCTACATTGCACACAGGTTGTAATAAATTGTTGCCAGGGGATTTGAATGCCTCCTGGGTGACTTCCCTGGGAGAAAACTCTTGGACACGTTTGCCATTTTCTGCTGACTGTGTCCTCCACACCTCTTCCTGACATGACTTCATGCCTTTTTGCTGTAATAAGTTGTAATGATGAGCTCATGAGTACAAATACGCTAAGTCTTATGGGTCCTCCTGGCCAATCACTGAATCTGGGGAAGGGCTTGAGGACTCCCTGACACTTACAAGCATTTTTACATAAATCAGCTTGCACAAAAATGGTTACAAATTCATCTTTTACACTTCTAACACGTTCTCGTAAAAAATTGGTTAGATCCTGTTTGATATAACCTTGATTTCGCGCCTAATGTCACTCAAGTGAAAACCTTGTATTTCCTCCCTGAAACCCAAATATTTGCAATCTACTCACTGGTGTCCTGGTATGAGCCATCGGGGCAGTGGGTAACACAGCTGTTGATTTCTTCGTTGAGGAAGTATCCATATTTACAGGACAGACACTGGTCACCATGGCTCCCAAAGCAGGACTCACAGTTGGGGGCACACTTCCTGCATCGCTTCTTGTCAGCATGGTAGTGGCCAGGGGGGCAGCTGGAGACACAGATCCTGCATCGTGGAATGATAAAAAGAAGGAGACCATCATCAGAGACTCAGTCCTGGCACTCTTAGAAGTGCTCGGCCAACAGCCGTCCTCAGTCTTTAAATCCTTTTGAAACCATTAGGGTAACACCATGCCCAAAGAGCCAAATTCTGTGGGTTGAAGCTTTTTCCCGTGTAGGGTGCCGAAGTAGCAAGGCAATCACATAATACCAAGTCCGTCAAGTAGGGTATGTCTTCCAGTTCGGGTCTAGCTCTTTCAAAGGGATGATGGTTAGAAATGGAGTCTCCAGAGGAAGGTAGTAGCCTTGGGCTGAAGGGAAGCTCGGTGGCAACCCTGATTTTTTACAAAGAGGCTGCTAATAAGGGGTTACTTGTGGTTTTGTGCGGTTTTTGTGTGTCATATGGATCCCGTGTGCTAGAGGGAGCGGTTGTATGCTATCGTCTAAATTAACGTAAATAACGCGTAACCAACCGAGCCAACTCAGGAAGAATAGTTGAGAAAATGTTAACAGGGGTTTTCTTCTTTTCTGCCCATCTGCACTTTTTATCTTAAATGAATACAAATGAAAATTATGAATTTCAACTTAAAAAAAGATAACGTAAATATATTTAAACTTGGTTATGATAAACTTTAAAAAATAACTTCTTCGTTTGCCCAGCGTCGAAGGACAGCGCTTTACTCCTTCAACAAATATTTACGGAGTTCCAAATCCAATGTCAGGCATTTTGCTGGTCTAGGCGATAATGAGAGGTGCTGAGGTGGCCAAGGGCCTTTCCTTTAAGGAATTTAAATTCCAGCAAGGATGTAAACAGGAACTGGAAAGCGTCCGGGTGTGTCAGCATAGCTGAAATGCAAGTCCCGGTTTTCCCTGAAGGAGGAGGGAGAAGGGGGCGGGGCTGAGAGGTGCCTGGAGGGCGTGGCTTCTGCTGGGCCGGCACCGTCATCTGCACAGCCTGAGGCAGAAGCCAAGGGCTTGCACAGTGGGGACCCCGGGAAAGCACCTGTTTGGTTGTATGCCAGCATTTTCGCATTTAGCTGTGGCGTCAGACATCCAGGGAATGGAAAGGTCTAAAGCGGAAGGCCAGTCCTGTGTAGAGCTAGTCCTTCCCCC